TCCCGCTTCCCATCCCGCTCCCCTCGCCCCCTCCCCTCCATCCCAGCCCCCGCCGCTTGGCCAGCACGGGGGGAGATTCTCCCCCAAGCTGGGAAAGCCGACCCGGTTTTCCCCTTCTTTTGCTACTAACCACATGTCGTCCTCTTGCCCCCAGCTTAAATTATCCCCAATACCCCTTCAACACCCCTCAGCCCTGCCCTGCCCTCCCCGCAGAAAAGGAGAAAAGCGGGGTTTCCCTGCCCCTTTCTCCATCCCAGAGGATGTGTTACCATCTTCGGGTCTTTCCCACCGTCAGAGGATGCTCAGGCTCTACCTCGAGGGAGGAGGTGCGGCAAACCATCCCTCTGGAACAGCTCTCACAAGAAATCACCGCTGCATTTCCACGTTCGTTTCTCATCACAGCCTTCCCAAAGCCTGTGCTACAGCAGCCTTTTTGTTTCCTGCCAAGGTTTCTGTCCCTTCCACTCAAATCATTGCCCCTTCCTGCACACAATAAACCCAGAACCAGAGACTGACTGGAAAGTGATTCCCATGCTTCTGTCATCTGGGGAGTGTTCCTCAAGAGTTTTAGCAGGGAAATCAGAGCTCTTAGCATCCATCTCCACAGCCAAACCACTTATTTACTGTGATGATGCTCTGGGGAGCCAGAGCAAACCTAGAGAGATCAAGTTTTAAACAGTTTTCTCAAATAGCCCCCACTATCTCAATTAGTCCTTGGTGGACTGGAAAGCACGAATGAGAACCATAGATGAGCTCTCCACAGAGCAAGTCTGGACACTGTCCCAGTTCCCTTCAGAACCAGGCAAAGATGTTGTAAGCCCAGGACTTGTTTAGCTCTTCATTAACTCTTAGAGGGCCATCTCCAGTTTATGTGTATTTTTCAGTTGTTCTTTTTTATTATTTCTCAGTGCTAAGCAGGTGGCCTTTTAATTGCCACTGTTCATGGAGGACAATGGATCTACACATCAAATGGCCGTTATCTCTATTATTGTTCTGTGTGCTATTATATTCTGTATTGACAATGTGAGGCTACT